TAGCAGTGCAGAGACAGCATTTGCAGCTGAGTTACCTCTGCTCCCCTCTAAACTCTCTTCAAAATTCTCTGGTTCTCTCTATAGAGCTCTGAAAAAACATCTGTCAAACCTAAAACAAGGGAAAAACACACAGAGTTGGAAGCACAGACAGCATTTTACACAATTGTATTAAAAGGAAGCTAAAACACAGAAAAAGAATCTGAGACTGCAGTGCTTATCACTGGCACCTTCAGGCTGTGCTTCCAGGCAAAGCAATGAGTGAGGAAATAAACCAAACCACTGCAGTTCTAACCTTGACCCCGACCCTGGGAACTGCACAGTTCATGCTTCCAAAGTGTTTACAGAGGTATGCTCACAGCCATGCATAATGCAAGGATATTAACTTAAGGATAGAACTTTTCCCAAACATACTTTTCCTCTTCTTTGGAGCAAAATAATTAGACCCGAGATGAAAGTTAATGAGTAGGTTCAAGCATTTTTTAAGAAGCTGGCTCAATGAATGTATGCTGAATTCAGAAAAATTAATATGCCATATCAAAGTAAGAGTTAATTTCAGGGATTACATTACTGCACACACACCCATTTACTGGTTCTCAGCACTTACCACTTTTACTTTAAATCAAGATAATTTTGGTATTTAAACAAACAGGTCAATGGGTAGGCAAGATAAAAAAACCACCACAGTCAAAAGCCTCTAAGTATTAGTACACACCTACACATCATAACACAGTAGAATTACTTTACAGGTATGCTGGATCAATAAAAGCTAAACATAATAAAGAGCTGATGATTATCAGGAAGAGGTACTTAGACATGCTTAGAGGGCACAGTATTCCTCTGAAAATCTGACAGCCTCCTGAGACATCCCAGTTTGGCTGCTTCTCCATACAACACCTCGAGGAGGCAGAGGGGACCCTTAAAAACAAAACCAGGAAAGGAAAACATCCAAATAGCCACCTGTTCTGAAAAACTGCTACCATGTGTCAGGCATTCACCTGCCAAGGGAGTGGCAAATTTCTTTGCTTTCCTACACTGGCTGGTCCTGACAAAACAATCAAGGCTCAAGAGTTAATGATTTCCCTCTGGGAAAGCTCCAGGAGCCAAGCTGCAGGGCTGGGCTCTGTCCTTGATCAACACTTGCAACCTGTAATTCATCCAGCCCTCCAGTATGAAGCACAGAACCCCTCAGGTGAGGCTTGGAGCACGAGGTCAATATTTTAAGGTTCATTTTTCATTTTCCAGCAGGGCTGGTCCATTTAGTGAGCTCTGAAAGCTTGTGTCTTGTTACTGCATCAAGGCTGTAACCAGAGCCAGCTGCTGGCCAGAGCCCCAGCGACCTGCACCCTGTTAACCCTGTCCTTCCCAACCAGCACAACGCCACATTTCACACCCAAGCCCAAACCTCCTTCAGTTTGTAGCCAGAGCTCCATCAGCTGAGGAAAGGGCACAAAGAACTCCTCCAGGCTATGGATTTCATGGTTTTAACATCACTGTTAAACATCAGATTTTGTTGCCTATTTCTTCTCCCTTCAAAGCAGAAGGTTTTGTTTCATCTGCCTTTAAGGCAGATGCTTGTTTCCAATTTGTGACTGCTCAGGTAAAAGGGATTGTGGCCATTCACAAACCTGTCCTGTTCCAGAGCCTGAGCATCCATCTAGCTTTGATTTCTGGAAGAGCAGTTAGTTCTACCCAGGTTTGAATCTCCAGTTTCCCATGAATGCCTGAAGCACTTCAAAATACAGTTACAGGATGCAACTGAATATATCTGAATATATCTGATCTGCTGCTTAAAGAGAAGGATTCTGCTTTTTGCTGCAAGCACAGTGTTTTTGACTAACTCACAGATGCTCAGTAAAAGGAACTCCATGGGCCAGAAGTCTTCTCTGGAAGAATGCTTCCAGGTGACTGATGAGGCTTAAATATTCTCCTCCTCCTGGCACACCTTTTCCTGCAAACAGGTGCATAAAAACTTCTCTATCTCGCCAAGCAGGAGTTTGACATCACAATGTTAGAACTTGGAAAGCTTATTGTGACTTGCTCCTTGGCACAAAAATAACCCACAGGAAAGCTGCAGTGCCAACCAGAACTTTGTACTGGCTTCCCCTCCAGTGAGGAACTAGGGCTGAACAGCCAGAGAGGTGCCCCTCCATCAAAACCAACAAGGGCAGATTCCCTGGAATCAAGAGAAAAACCTGAGGCAAATATAAAATAAATATCTTTCCAGTGGGGCTACTTGAGGCAGGCTCCAAATTCCACTCTCCCCATCATCACTTGACCAAAGAATTTTTATGTCATTCCCCACTTTCTGTCTACTCTGATTCCACCCACAACTGACCCTTCTGAAGGTTTTGGTTCTGGCACTATCCAAGTGCACAATGAGGCCAAATCACAGGATGCACGAGCAGCAAGGGAACATAATGGAGCCACACAACCTGGCTCCATTATTCAAGGTATAAGCTCTAGGTAGTTCATTCCCAATATGTACAAAGAGGCAAAACACCAGCCAAAAAAACCCCAACCAAACATATATATATATATATACTCAGAGCTTGAAATGACTATAATTGACTGATGAATTGCATTTTTTTTTTCTCATTCATGCATTTTAAATTATTTACTTTCTGCATATGGTCAGATTCAGACCTTGGAAAGCCCCTAGCCATATATAAAGAGCATGAGGAATCTATTTAAACATGTTCCCAGGTCTCTTATGTCTCCATGAAACTGAACAGGCACAACTACAGCACTCTGCAGGTTCAAAACAAAACTAAATTACCCAAAAGTGTTAGCAAGTTATAATCAAAGGCCTCCTATTTTGCTGTACTTTGGACTTACAGTAACTGCACCACTTGTTAGCTGTCACAGACATTACAAGCTCCAAGCAGTGGGGATGGAGGAGAACACTGCCACTTGGTGGAAAAAGGAGAAAGGAAACATTTGCAACTGCTCCAAGTACAATTAATTCCGCAGGGATTTCCATCTCTCCCCATCCCAAGTGAATTTCCAGTCAGCATGGCTGGTGCAGCTGCACCAGTGCCCCCAGAGCCACACCCCAGCAGGGCACTGGGCTGCCTCCACAGCCCCAGCCTGCCCAGTGCCAGCTGGCTCCACAGCTATCACTTAATACTCAAAAAAAACCAAAAGGCCAATGGACACAATTCCCTTTTTCACCTGTGTTTGAAGGCATCTATTAAGGATAACATGGAAGTCTGAAACTGCTGAGTTTCAGACTCAGTTTAGCTTTGCCTCCCTCCCAATCTTCTCAAATCCTCACTTTTCACGCCACACTGGGATGGCAGGAATTACATTTTACCATTATTTTATTTATTTCCTTTATTTCACATTTTCAGTTCTTGCAGAGTTGCTACTGCAGTCTACCAAGATACAAAATGCTTTTTATTTTGAATACATTCATTATTTCTTTGCTTCCTCACTGAAGCTGAAATGCTGCTCTGTGGCCACGCGTGGCTCTTCTTCAGAAGCACAAAATGCACCTGGACAGCAGCACACAAAACCCACTGAAAGCAAGAGGCTTTTCAAACAAGCCAACATGAAATGTCAGTGACACGTTAAAGCAGCACCCACACAATTCAGTGGTGAGATTTCTGTCATGTATGATTACTCAGGTAAGAGCAGCCACAGTCTAATTCTGTTTTTTCTCTCTGCCAGACCTATTCTCCACTGCCCTGAAGTCCTACAGCCCTTTCACAGAAGGCAGAAATGCACACATTTCCAACAGGGCCCTACTACACAACTTCAAAAACTTGATTTACAACAAATTTATCTTCTAAGGAAATCCCATATTTTTACTTCATAGTACATATTTGAATCCAGCAGTTTTTACAGAAATATCTCACTAGCATATTTACCAGGGCAAAAATGTAGAAGTAGAAAAAGGATAAGAGTGAGAGATTCCCTTTTACTTTCTTTAAAAAAAAATTATTTCTTGCAACAAGGAAAGGAGAAAATGCATTCCATTTCCAAGTGCCTGGGAGCCATTTAACACACTGAGACTTTACCAGCTGCAGTACAGCTGCCAAGATTTCCAGCTGTGTATCACTGTAAAGCCATAAAAATATTGTGGGGCCTGGAAGAAGGTGCTGCTATAAAACTAATTCAAATAGAACAGCTAAACACATCTATTTGCCTTCATCCTAGCCTATCAAAGCCCTGTGGCAAATCAAATTCTCTACAAAATTCTGCTTTGCAGCACAGTCCTCTGGTTTTTGTAGCAGAGTTTAGGGACTGCCTGCATCCTTGAGGAAGCTGCTGGATAAAATGAATGCACTTGCAATTGTTTGTCACTCAGCATCCCTGATGAACAGGATTGCTTCTACTGAACTAACACAAAAAATTTAAACACAGTTGTCTATAGCTTCAAATGGATTTGGTCTTCTGTCCTCCAGCTTTCAGCCTGATCCATGTCCTGTGTGCTGTCAAACACCTGCTGTGCAGCAGAAACAAGGTGAACTCCCAAGATAAAGATGATTTCAAGTATTTATGATAATAGCTATTATCTGGGGATCTTAGTTCACTTTTTAAATTTATCTATGACCTTTACAAAACTGCTTCATTCAGAATGACAGAGCTGGAGAGAACTGAATTGATTCTGACACCTTCCATGGCCTGTAAGAGCACAGGATCATTTATTCATTAAGTTCTACATGAAGAAATTATTCCAACTAACACTGGTCATACAGAATTCTGTACTGGATGCTGCACCTGCCACATCACTGCAAAACAGGTGAGATGCTGTCAGCAAACTTCAGATCTAATGCACAACATGACCAAACTCATGAAGGCCAACCTTCACTGTGACTCAGCCTGTGATCTGTTAACTGCCTTTGGCAGGAGCCAGAACTAAAGCCAGAAACACAGGTTAAAGCTACAAAAGGTGTGGAACTAACTACAGATCACAAATGAACACCAAGCCATGCTGTTAAAACTTACTCCTCTCGTACTGAGCTTCCCCACCACCACCAGACCACACTTTCAAATACCTTTAGGTCACCAGCCTCAGGTTTTTCAGTCTCTGAATCGTCATCTTCCTACAAGACAAGAATTTACAGGATTAAGCTTAAAGAGCAGGCCTGGCAAGTAACTGAACTTACAGCAAAGGGCATTCAGCAGCCCAGCAGCAGTCCAAGACCATGGAGAGTAGTTTTGCCCCACCCACTCATAACCAGAAAACAAGTCCTACAGTCAGGGGAAGAAGTGTTTGTTTGGTTTTGGGGGTTTTTGTAGGCAAAAGCATCACTCAGCAGCAGTTTTCCCTAGAAAACTCATGCAGCTCTGGAATGCTCAGAATTAGACAACAAGAAGCAGCAGAACTGGGGGAAAAAAGCATTTGTCCTTTGCTAATTCTGTCCCCTCCAGCTGGCAGATGGTGACTGACGAGCCTCTGTTCAGCAGTACCCACAGAAAAAGCAGCATTTGCAAGACCTGTGATAGTCCCAAGCATCAGCAACACACACAGGACACACAGCTGGCCTGCCACCAAACCAAACATGCAGGCTTGGAGAGGGTCTGGCCTAGCAGCAAGTTCCAGGGATCCAGGGATCCAGCAGACACAACCTCCTTGCTGGTGCAGAGCTCTTGTGCCTTGCTTGCAGATGCTGTGAACCTCCACAGAAGGGAACACTGACAAATTTCAGGTGACAGTCTCCATTTTTTAAACATTTCTTTTACGAACCAGAAATAAACCAAAGAACTGGGGGAACTTCTGCCCTGTGAGAGCTTAAAATACTGAACACAGCATTGTGTGAAAATCCACACCAGGTGAGCAGGAAGCTCCAGGCTGGTCCCCAGTGGCAGTAAACCTGCTGTCCCCTCACTGGGCATCCTCCCAGTACCCCTATTTCTAGACATAAACACATACTCTGGGTTCAAAACAAGTCTGAGGAGCAAAAAGTGTTTTTCATGCTCACATAACTCAGCAAAATGTTTTTTCTTCCAAACTTTCCCACAAATTTCAATGTTGGCCCCAAGACAAGAACTTGGTGTTTCAGCTTCAAAAGGGGCAACAAAAGAAAAAGTGAAATGAGAGGTGCAACTGAAAGGAAGAGTTTACAAGGAACTGCCCACCTCAAAGCATTGGCACATGAGCCAGTTCTGACAAGGCTAGAGCTGACCACACAATAATGGCAGGAAGTTTTAACTGACTGAATTCAGATGCCTCTCTTACAGATTAGAGACACAAGCTCCTTCACCTCAGCTACTCTCCAGCTTCCCTTTCTCAAAGATGCACACATGACAATAAGTCCAGACTGTCAAAGGTTAATTACAGTGAGTTTGCAATTAGCAAAGAACCAACTAACTTGGTGTTTACCACAAATGAGACTGCTCTCCCCTCTACAGTCTCTATTATATAGATAAAAGTGATTTTCATCAAAGCAATAATGGGTTGAATTATCCATGTTGCAGACAGTAACTGAAACAGCTCTCCAAAACTGCTGATCTAGCAGGGAGTAAGAACATTAACAAACAAAGCAGCATTACTGAGAAGTGGATTTGAATAAAAACAGAGGCTTTTCAGTCACTGTGAAAGTAGTTAAAACACTCACTGAGCTGTACAGAGCAAAGCACAGGAGAGCCTGAGTGCACCTCACCCTGTTTTTAGAAAACAACTCATAACCCCCACGAGCTAACAGCACAAGCAATGCCAAGGAAGTTTTCAAGTCTGCTCAGAGAATATTTAATGGGAAAAAAAAAGGGAAGTAACTTGTGCACTGTAACCACAAACCTAAGCAAGATCCACTGGCTGAGAGCAGTGACTGAGTGATTGCCCTTTCCTGAACAGCAGCTGAAGATGGAGAGCTGCAGCCTGCACCAAAAGCTGTGCATGCAATAAAGCCACTCCATCTACAAGCCCTTTACAATACCAACTAAACACAGCTGACCTTGGCAAGCACCTGCATCACTCACAGGGCTTCCTTTGCACCAGACAGACCTCACAGAAGCAGAGTCTAGAAGTGCTGGATATACAAAGAAGAATCACTGGAGCAGTAAAAAGGTTCATTGCTTTGCTAAGGGAGACACCAGGGGCAACAGAACAGAACTTAAAACAGGAACAAGAGACTGAGGAATTTCTTGGCTGCTTCTTGGGCAGACAAATGGCAGAAAAAAGTGTCTCCTGAGAGACTGATCCAACACCTACAGAGCAGATTTCAGTGAGGAAAAGTTATGGAAGTAGCCCTGGGTTTTTGGCTATGTGGTAGAAGAAAGAACTGGAACAGGGAGAAGATCAGAAAAAGGGTGACAATAAAGAAAGGAGATGAGAACTTTCCCTTTTCCTCTCCAAACTTATTGTTCCACTCCCTCAGACCCAGGGCAGAACTACACATCCTTCTGTGTGATGCAGCTGCCCTCACAGACTGTGAGCTCCGTGCCCTGTCCCCCCACACTGTTGGGATCTCAGAATTCAGGTGATATCAGACACGTGCCATGCTCCTGTGACACACAAAAGCCACCCACATGTAGACAGGACACTGCTACATCAAGGTGACTTGATGCAGGGAGTGCATTGAGCTACACACAAAAGAATAATTTAAGACAGCACAGAAGTTTATTCTTTTTAATCCACCACCAGTGTGGTCCTCTTACAAGGTTCTTATGGGTCAACTATGTTTAAAGAATATCTTTTATTTGGAGTGGCTGTAACAGCCTTTGTCCCATAAAAGAGTCCAACGACACCAACACAGTAACGAGCAACACGAGCTGTGCCAAGCAGCTGATGGGTTTCAGGGCAAATGCTTTCTGCTTGAAAACAAAGTGGAAAGGAGGAGGTGGAAAGTGCTGAAACCCACACCAGGAGTCAGATATTCCGGGTTCCACCACGGGTTGCTATTTGGGGTTTTTATTTGAAAGAGAAAAGTCTCTACAGCCTGGGTAAGAGGTCAAGACAAGCTCCCGGCGCAGGGAGGTACTTACTGACTGCCTGCTGTTCTCATCGTCCTCCTCTTCGTAGCCTTCCTCGTCCCCATCCAGGCGGGTAAAGTCATCCTCTCCGTACCCAACTGATACCAGACCTCCTTTCTCTCCTAAGGAGAAAGAGAAAAGGAAAACGGTGAGGGAAAGGGGAGGTGGCAGCGTGCGGGGCTTTCCCTTCACACAGGGGAAAGCGCCAGGCCGGCGCGGGCCGCGCGGGGGAACCGCGGCGCTCCAGCCCGCCGCCTGTCCCGGCTCCCTGCCCGCCCTCACCCGTGGGCGCTCCCCCGTCGCTCCCCGCCGTGCCGGCCTCGCTGTCCGACTCCGGGTCCGAGTCCTCAGCGTAAACCGCCAGCGAGGAGAGAACGCTGCGCTTCGCCGCCGCCATCTTCCGCCTCGGCCGCGGCGCACTTCCGGCGCGCGGCGATGACGACACGGCGCTGTCACCATGGCAACGCTGCCCTTCTTCCGCCCTCAGCGGGCTCCCGGCGCAGCGGGGGAGTCTCGCCCTCACGGCCGGGGCAGAAGCTGCTCGGGGAACTCACGGCCGGAGGGCAAAACCCTCAGCCAAGCGGAGCGCAGCGTCTCGGGGGAGGAGAGGGAATGAAAATTGCGCGAGCTGGCCCTTTAAGTGAAGCTTTTGACGTCATTTTGTGGCGCCGCGACAGCACCTGCCGGGTCCGGAGCGAGCGCGGAGGGTGGGGGCCGGGACAGGGCGGAGGTGGGAGCGGGCATGTGGGGGTGCAGGGACACAGGGCCCGAGGGAGGGAGGGAGGAAGGAAGGGGGGTGGGTGAGAAGGAGCCGCCTGCCCTCACACCCCCTCCATGGCGGGTGCGGGCGGGTTTGGCGGGCACTGACCCCCCCCGGCCCCGGTATGAGCCCCCTGTGCTGTGCCCCATGGGGAGGGGCTGACCCAGAGTAAACACAGTGCGGCCCTCTCCAGTGAGAGGGTCTGGATAAGTATCCCTGAGGGACCCGACAAAAGGGGGAGTGTGGCAGGGAAGCCCCGGGGGAGGCCGTGCAGGTGGCCGGGGGTGGGGGCAGGCCTCGGGCAGAGCAGGGTGGCAGCGTCCGGGGCTTGCTCAGGTTCCTGTCGCCGTTCGCAGCATCCTTATGATGAGCGGGAAGGCTCCCCCGGGCCTGGAGGGCAGGGTCCGCAAAACACTGCAGAAGGTCTTCGGGTTCGAGTCCTTCAAGACTTCCCTGCAGGAAAGTGCGACCATGGCTGTGGCGAGAGGTGAGGCTGGGCACGGGAGACGCGTGGAGCACGGCCGGGTGTCCGCGTCCATCCCCGCGGGGGTGACACTGCACGAGTGGCTCTTGTGCCTGCTGTGAGCAGACCTCACCCGGACTGAGCAGCAGCGCCCAGCCCTCCACGCCCTCCTCTGCTCTGAGGTGGTTCTGGTGGCCCAGGAGCACGTGCTGCACACGAGCTCTGCATCTTTTCCTCTCGTTTGTTTTGTAACGCCGCCGTTGCATCAGCCGTGGAAATGGGAAATGGGGAAAGTGCAGCATTGTTGGTGTCTTTTCTAGTTGTCTCCTCATACCTGCCAGTGTGTTTGTGGTCAGATGACATCAGAGCTGTTAACATTCGGGCTTTTTCAGAGTAAAGCTGGCCTTGTGTTAAGGACAATAGCAGTAGAGAGCTTGATTTCTTGGCATAGCTGAGATCCTCAGAATCACGGGGCCCTTATCAGAAACATTCTTGTGCTGATGTTGACACACGCCCCAACAGCCAGCTGGGGGTGGACGGGCAGCTCACACAAACAAGCTGCCAGCTCCCCCAGCAGCTCTCTCAGTGTGAATCACAACAGTGCCCAGTTCAGTTTCCATCTGTCACCACTCACTGTTGACAACAGACCTGTCAGAAGTGGGATTCTGTGTGCAAGGTGTCTCTGCCTGTTAACCTGGTGTCACTGGCACCTTCCTGGCTTCAGGTGGGTCTTGGTTAGTGCAGGAGCAGTCACTCTGCAGGATGTTATCAGTGTGGTTGAGATTTTCCAACTCCTGTTTCATGTGAGGGGCCTTTCTGGGATAAGCTTTAAGAGGATGTGGTGAAGTTCTGTTATGGGGCTGGTAATGTGGTAAGTGGAGGTCTGTAAAATGAGTGAAAGCAGCTTTTCTGGAGGAGATTCAGCATGAATAACTTCTCTTTATCTGGGTTTCTGTGTATCTTCTGGTAGTTTTGTACAGCTGCCTCTAAATGTTTACAAAGCAATCTGAGGTCCTTTGAAGGAAACCACTGCTGGCATGCAAAGTATTGCTGTGCTTTTAGAACCCAAACTGAAGGGTTTTGTTGCTGTGCCACCTGGTACATGCACACAGGTGCTGTTTCTGCCCACTCCCCCTGCCTGAGCCCCAGGAATTCAACACCACTCAGAGGCCTTGAGCTTTCTTCTGTTGTTTTTGCAGGAGAGAAGGATGTCTTTGTGTGCATGCCCACAGGGGCAGGGAAATCCTTGTGCTACCAGCTTCCTGCAGTTCTGGCAGTGGGCATCACCATTGTCATTTCACCTCTGATTGCACTGATTCAGGTAACTGTCTCCTGTTAGCTGGGGAACAGCAGCCAGGGAAGGGGAGGCTCTGGAGGCACAGCAGCTGCCCTCTTGTCTTTCTGCCCACAAGTCTCTGCTGATGACCTGCCTCTGGATTCTCTTGATGTCTCAGTGTGCTTTCCTTACCCTGGGATAGGTGAGGACAGCAGAGTATCTCTGGTGTGATATTTTGCATTTCTTTAAAAGGATGGTTTTGCCTTTAATAATAACCTGGTGGTTTTTATAACTGAGCCTTTCTCCATTTTCTCCAGACATTAGCAGCAAAGCAGAGCTCAAATGCACCAAAAGATGGATCTGCCACTTTACCTATAAAGTAATAACTCCAGGAGTGATGAAATTGCCTTTGAAGGCACAATTCATTCTGCATCAAAATGTCTTTTCGTTGCAGTCAATCTGTGATGGGAAAAAGCTGGTTTGGTAGAGCTGCTCCATGAGCACTTTCATCTGTGAGACTTTTTTTCCTCTGTTTTGCCTTTTCTACTGTTTCATCACCTGTTGGGAAAAACAATTTCCTGTAAGAGCAGCTGTAGCATTGCTTAGACTTGTGCAGGCCATTAGCACTGTGTGACATCTGCTGCTGCAGGCTGCTGGTTTGGGATTTGTTATTTGTGGAATTATTTTAACTCCTTTACAGTCTCACTGTAAACAATAGTCTCACTGTTAAAAACAATAGCAGGCTTGGTGATACTTCTCAGAAAGATACTATAAAGAGTGAATTTGTTCCAAGTGTGAGGATTACTGATGAAACGCCAGCATGGCCAATATTAGTGAAATGGAGTTTAAGATCTCCTTGGTAAGAGAGTTACAAATAGGTTAAGATGGGCTTGATGAGTCTTAGAGGAAAGAGCTGAAGTAAACCCCCAGAGTCTGCTCATCCAGCCCTGAGAAGGGATTGCTGTGCCTGGAATGATCATGATGTATTTCAGTGTAGCCAAACTTCAAGAGTTCAGCCTGTGCAGTTCATTACAGGGAAGGCTGAGGGGTGACTGTGAACAGCAAGCAGAAACAGACATTAAATCAGTTACTGAAGCCAGATATTGAGTAAAATAATGAGATACCTGTTTTTCAGGACTCTTCATATCCTGAAATGTCAGGTGCTAGTCAAGTGCAAGTGAGCAGAGGACAGGGAAGTGCATTTGTATGGCCAGTGTTCATCTGGATGTGATGCCATGTTTTCTTCTTGGTTTTCATGACACAACTCTCATCCATGCTTCTGGTTCTGCTGCAGTGGTGATTTGCATGATCCTTGCACTTTGTCCTGTCTCAGTTGTGTTAGGACATCCTTCAGTTATTTGGGAGTGAGCTGCTCCCTGTTCTTGCAGGGTGGGAATGTTCATTTTCCATCTGTGACAACTCTGTATTGTAAATACTGAGATGTGTTCGGGTCACTGAGCCTGTGATGAGTTGCTCTGCACAGATCCCTGCTGGTATTCCCTAGCAGCAAAAAGACTGTCTTAAAGTGAATGGATGCACCAAAATGCAGTTGAATGTAAGAGCTGGATGGAGCTCACAGGTGAAGGAAAAGGCATCTAGAATTGAAATTGTAAATAACAGGGCTGTAGGTGTGCATTGTCCTGGGATTTGATCCTGGAGGTGGAAGCTGGGGCCTCACCTGGGTCTCCCTACTAAGCTTTCTTGGTGCTGGTGACTTTCTTTATTCTCATTTCATTTTAATTTCTATTCTGTATTTACTCTAGGATCAAGTGGATCACCTGCTGGCTCTGAAGATCAAAGCCTGCTCTCTGAACTCCAAGCTCTCTGCCCAGGAGAAGAAAACCATCCTGGCTGACTTGGCAAGCGACAAGCCTCAAGTAAAGCTCCTGTACATCACCCCAGAGATGGCAGCTGCCTCTTCCTTCCAGCCAACACTGAACTCCCTGGTGTCCAGACACCTGCTGTCCTACCTGGTCGTTGATGAAGCTCACTGTGTTTCCCAGTGGGGACACGACTTCCGCCCCGACTACCTGCGCCTGGGCGCCCTGCGCAGCCGCGTCCCCCGCACCCCCTGCGTTGCCCTGACTGCCACTGCCACCAAGCAGGTCCAGGAGGACGTGGTGGCAGCGCTCAAGCTCAAGCAGCCACTTGCCACCTTTAAGACTCCTTGTTTCAGATCTAACTTGTTCTATGACGTGCAGTTCAAAGAGCTCCTTACTGATCCGTACGCCGACTTGAAGGATTTCTGTCTGAAGGCGCTTGAAGTGAAGGGCGCCGCTGGGGTAGGTTTTACCTTTAGGGAAGAAAACTAAACTGGACAAAATCTGCCTTAATGGTCCCTGACCTTCCAGGGGTTGGTGGGGCCCTGACAGGTCTTTGGCAGGAGATGAGGAGGTCCCAGGAAGGAGAGTGCTTGTGTGTATTTTGTAAGTCCTCTAAAAGTGCACACATATGTTTTTTAGTTCCTCTAAAACAGGTAGAATGTGAAGGCTGTGGTCCTGTCAGAGGTATCCTCAGAAGGGATTCAGTCTAAAAGAAATTTGATTAGAAATACAGAACAAGCATTTCCACTTGGTTTGTTGCATCTTCTGTGACCATTGTGTGTGTTCTGTTCTTTTAGTGTTGTGAGGGTGAGCAGAAGCATCTGAAGTGTTGAATTTCCTGCTCTAACTCTAATTCTCAAAATAACTCCCTGCAGCTCAGCTATAACCTCTACACCTGGGTGTGTTTGTGAGATGCTTCTTGCATTGTATCTACTAGGAGAGGATGAGGAGCTGTATTTGCAGCTTTGTTGTTTGACTTCAGGCAGTGTCCTGGCCTTTGTCTCCTGGCTCCCAGGTGTACTCCGGCTGTGGCATCGTGTACTGCAGGATGAGGGATGTGTGTGACCAGCTGGCCATTGAGCTGAGCTATCGAGGGCTGAAAGCCAAGGCCTACCATGCAGGTACTGGAGTCTGCATCTCTCACTAGCTGGGAGAACTGAACTCTGCCATCTGGGTTGGGGCTACCTAGAAAAGAGCTTTCTAGGCATGCTCTGCACTCTGCACTCTGTGTTGCTCACACATCAGGTCTGTGAGGTAAGTGCAGGCCCTTCACCACAATGGCATTCCCTTGTCTCCAGAACTGTTGGTTTTGTTGGATCTTTCGTGGCCTGAATATAACAGCTCCTTTTATCCTGGGTGGGGAGCTAGATTTTTTCCTCTGGAATAAAAACAGCTGCTGCTGACTTCTGCTTGGCCCCAGGCCAGTTGAAAGACTGGGAAGAGAGGAGTGTGTACATCAGACAGTTTTAGTGAGGGAGTTTGCCTGCAATGGGGGAATGGATGAGAAAGAAACAAGAGGATTTTCTTTCCTTCTTGTTTTTTGGGGGTTTTGTTTTGTTTCTTCTCTTTTCCTTCCCAGGACTCAAGGCAGCTGATAGGACTTCTGTCCAGAATGAATGGATGGAGGAGAAGATCCCTGTCATTGTTGCAACCATCAGTTTTGGAATGGGAGTAGACAAAGGAAATGTCAGGTGCGAGGCTGAGTGTTGAGCACCATCAGAGACTGAAACCTGAGCAGGGGGAAGGAAAAGTCTCAGGCTCTGTTACCTAATCCACCTGACTCAACTGCCTGATGAACACTTGCTCAAACCAACAAAACCAATGCTGGAAGTTTTTTATCTTGAAAGCAGCAAAACCAAACCTGGGAGGGCTTTGTAAAAACATTAAATACAAGGCAGCAGAGCTCCTCTTTGCCAGTCATCCTTAAAATCAAGAAAATGGGAGGAATGCTTTTCTGCCACACCCTCCAAGGTTTCAGAAAGAGCCATCTCAGTGCAATCACAGCTGTCTCTTTCACTTGTCTTAGTGCAATAGTTGCTGTCTAAAAGCAGTGGAAAGAAAATCTGCACCTAAAATAATTCACCCACCCTCTATTAAAATAGTCAGAGCCAGCTTTTCTTGGAGATCTCTGCAGTGCAACAGGGAAAAAATAGCCCTTCATAAATGGCAATAACCATATAAAAATACAGCTCCAGTCCAAGGACAGAAACTTTGCACATGGTTTGCCATTGCTGCTCCTCTGAGATTGCCATCCCCATAAGGGCTCTGGGTTAGAATTCCTGCCCTACAATATGGCTGTGCTGAGTTATTGTGATCACTTACTAGAGGGATAATTCAGGTGCAGCTCAGACAACACCCACAACAGACCTGATCTCTAAAATCCACATACAGAAGCTGCTCTGAATACTGTGAGAGAAAGGCAGGATATCACTGAGCCAATCCCATCAGTTCACAGCTGTGCCATCCCTCTGCCTGTGTCACTGTGCTGCCAGGAAACAGTTTTCTTCCTTGATGCATCTTTCCAAACAGAGAAGTGAGGAGTCTCCTAGGACATGAATTAATGACCTGCTGAAGAACTCTGCCCTATCCAGTAGTCATTAAAAAAGGCAGAGAGTAACTGAAATGCACAGTGCTGACTGAAAGTGAATTATAGCTGAGATATGCTTGTAATCTGGTTAGTTTAGAAGGAATGGAGTTGAAATTACTCTTTACAGGCATTTTGAAAAATAAAGAACATTATACCCAAGCCTAGTTAACAAGGCATTGCTGCTTAGCCTTTGCTCTTGCTGGCAGATTCATGCATATGTTATCAAATAAGATCAGGTCTGACAACTTCTGGAGGTGACTTTTCTGGACAAAAGGGAAAATAGAGGTGCTGTCCCTTTTCATTCTGATGGAATCTGCTCCTCTCTCTTCACTGTTAATTCAGTTCTGCTTAAAATTATTTATCAGTTCTTCAGCAAACTTCCTGATGGGGTTTAAATGTGCAGGGCTCTGATGCTTCCTGCTTGGCCTGTTCCTGGGCTGTTTGTGTTTGAAGAAACACATTTGCTTGCTTTTGTCATTTAATCTTTAGCTACACCCATATGCATCATACCTGCCCTTGGGTCATGCTGGCTTTGAGGCAGATTTGAAAACATTGGCAGCATTACTGTGCAACCCTCTCAAAACAGGTATAAGCTGAATTGCTGAATAGTCAGGTACAAGCAGGTTTAAAGCAGTCTTGCAGTGCTGTGTTGAAAACCTTCCTGCAGAGATTACATAAAATTTAGTAATGATTCTATAATCATATTTGCTGGTTAGGAAAGTTGCCTTCATCTGAGAAGCACGGTGAGGTGGAATTTCCCATGGAGATTTTGGCTAAATGTCTTTAAAAAAAAAATTTAAGAATGTGTTTCATAGTGGTGCAGTTATGTCCCACAAAACAAATACAACTTTTTTATTAATGCTGTATTTTATGGTAAAATCTCCCAAACTACTTAATTCAATGTTCTTATTCTCAGTCTTCCTAGCTGCACAGTTGTATGCATGTTTAGGATACTCATGTGCTCATTCTTTTCTATCCATGTGGAGTGGCATACTGCTCATGCTGCCCAGGTGCATTTGTTTTCTTACAGCTCTGCTGCTTTCTGTGTCTTGTGTGTTAAGAGGACTAAAACTTCAGTGTGCAAATTCTCTTGCTGTGTTCCATTGTCCTTTAAGTTTTGCTGCCCTGTTTTTTGCTGTTGTTGATGCCCACAGACACCACACTGGTGTGTGCAGTGCTCTGAGAAACCTGCAGCCTCATGTTCCCTGTTTGTTTTACCACATGCAGATTTGTTGTCCACTGGAATATTGCCAAGTCAATGGCTGGATATTACCAGGAGTCTGGCAGAGCTGGGAGAGATGGAAAACCATCCTGCTGCCGCCTCTATTACTCAAGGAATGACAGGGATCAAGTCAGCTTCCTGATCAAGAAGGAGCTCTCTAACATCCAGGTGAGAGCTGCAGAACAGTACCCACCTGCCTGGATCACACTGCCTTGGCTCTGGTCTGGTGTGCCTGCAGTAACCTCTGAATATCAAAAGATGAGATGAAATGTTCTGAGTCTAGAGCTGTGTGGAGCCCCATTTCAAGGGACAGCAGAAGGAAGGGAAGCAGGGAAGGAAAAGGCTGCCAGAGCCAGCTCTAGTAGAGAGAAAAAGAGCAGAGACAAGGAGGTGTCTGTAGCTGTTTGCCATGTAGCTCAGAAGGGTTAGATTTGATCATTGCTAGAGTTACTCTATCTGTGTAAATTTAAATTGAAGATTACAGTTCCTTGTCCCATCTACTTTCAGGAAAAAAAAGGCACCTTAAAAGAGTCTGACAAAGCTGTGATGACAGCTTTTGATGCCATTGTGAACTTCTGTGAGGAGCTGGGGTGAGTGCATTTCTTTCACATACCACTGTAAATGCTGGGGAAAACATGCCCTGTTCTCCCAAGAAACTGTTATGGCTGAGATCCTGCATGTGTCCCTGAGAAATCTCTTATCACTCCCACCTCTGAGTTAACTGAGATGTTGGTCTTGGAGTCTGACCAAGTCAGGGGGATGTTTAACTTCTCTGGTGGTACATTTTACAATATTCCATCTTTCATCACGGGTTGACTTTGTGCATTTGCTTTTGTTTTGACTCTCCTCCTTCAGTACATCACTCCTCTCCTAATGGGGAAGAGAGCCAAGGGATGGAAGCATTTAGATTTAATGTTTCTGTAAATCTCAGCATCTTTACTCTGCAAAGTATCTGTGATCCTCACTGACCTTAGAAGGACGTGATGGTGCTTAGAATGTTTCAAAAACAGGCTCAAATTATGGATGTGCCCAATCTAAATGCAGACTAGCAACCACAACATGCTTTGTTCAGGTTTAGTTCATGCCTTGTATGCTGTAATTGTACTAATTGCTGTTCTATGCTGGATCAGACATCAAAGCTGTAATTTTGCCAGGAAGAGAGCAGTATATGTCCACTAACTGAAAATGATCTTTGTGTGTCATGCTTACAAGTCCTTCATTTTGTTTCATTTTTCACATGTGGGTCTAGGACAGCTTTTTCAACATGAATGTAACACGTGCTGCTTTTCTGGTGCCTTGGTGAGAGTGTTCTCTCCTCGTCGTGTTTGGCAAACAAATCCTGGGTTTATGGGATAGTCTTGCTTGTACTGAAGTGTGGCACAACACTGAGCCCTGGGGCACTTAAAGGGGCACTTCTTTGCCCAAAGTCAAGGTGATGCTGTGAAGCAGCTGCTGGGAGATTTCTTTTCCTAAGAATTTGATCCACTTTGTCTGAGGAGCTCTCCCTCTTCTGGGATGTGTTCCCAGATCACAAATGGCTGTTGTGGCTAGGTTTGTATAATCATAGAATGGTTTGGGTTGGAAGAGACTTTTAAGATTACCTAGTTCAACCCCCTGCCATGGGCAGGGACACTTTCCCCTAGGCCAGGTTGCTCCAAGCCCCATCCTACCTGGCCTTCCAAGGGATGGAGCATCTATAACTTCTCTGGGCAACCTGTCCCAGTATCAAACCGCCCCCAAAATAATAATCTGAGTAAGGGAATATCACTGACTTAATCAGAAATCACGCCTCCCAGACTTTTTCTTCCCTTACTCAGCTTGATCCATTCTTCCAACTGTATATCATGGGGTGTGCATCCCAGAGTCACATACTGCAGCACCCCTGCCTGGCTTCCCTGCTCATAACTCTACAGGAGACTGAGGTGCTGTGCAAAGAAAGCCACATAGCATTTCTTTTTTATGTATTGAATTAATACAGTTCTACTCACTATCCAAACAGTGAAAGCAAACCTCAAACTCTGACCTTGCAAGGTTATAAATAAGAACAAATAAAGACAGACTGTGTATTGGCAATAAGTTTTTGCATAGTGTATTTAGGCCTGAGTATGACAGGAGAACAATGGTCTAAGCTTTTAGAGAGTGGGTTCAGACAAAGCTTTCAGTGGCCAGAGTTTCCTACTGCCCTTTTGCAAGATGAAAAAAAACCCCAACACACATAGCTGCAGCAGCAGAACACATCTTTATCAACTTTAGGTGGTGGCACCATTTGCCACCTCTAGCTGGTGGTTTTGCTTGAAAGATGAAAGTCAGAGATGAGTTTACTTTGATATTTGCCAAGTGTTGCAGTTCCTGAATCCAGACAGCCTCATGTACTGAGTTTGCTGTGGCCTGCAGAACAACTTCCTGCATTGGGACGTTGCTCTTGATGCAGGGAAGTTGCATGGAGAGAAATAACCACCCAGGGAGTGAGATGGGAGTTTTCTGTGAACAACAATCAGGTTGTACCCAGGCTGGTTCTCACTCAGCTGTATCAAGTTCTGTGTCCCCGCTTTGCTGTCTATGAGCCACGATGTCTGTGCCTTGGAGATGTGCAGCACCCAAAGATAACAGCAAATAAAATGAGAGCAATGAAAACAAAACAGAAGATGGCAATCACCACCAGCCCTCCAAGAGCCCAATCACTTGTTGCAATCAGTCTCTTTAGGTCTTGCAGATCTGAGGATGCCTCTTGCTCTAGTGACATGCTGGCTTCCACCCTGCTGGAGGCAGACAACAACAGGTCAGGTGTTGTATTCTCTCCATGCCCTCAGCCACAGCCCCAAAACCAGTGCAGGTATGCATGGTGTCTGTGCCTGCAGGCATCCCCCTCCAAAAGGAGGGTCACCCTTCACAGAAATGAGAGCATAAACCAGGGGGAATACAGCTCAGACTGGTTTAACAATCAGATCTATAGAGATGTAAAGAGGAAAAGCTGCTCGCTCTACAGCATTCTGGCAGTTGAGATTTATTTTAATCACAGCTTATCAATATTTTCCATAATACAGTGTCTCTCCAGCATTTCAGTATGAACTCTTTGTCAGCTGTACAGCCTATACATGAAAGACAAGTATTCAGTGAGAGAAATTCCTTGATACCATTGGAAGGATCTGTAAAAGGGAGAATTGGGGGCTTAAACTCTGAGGACACAATGGAGATTAAAGGAACACTTATTTAAAAACAATCAAGCAAAAAAAAAACCCCAGCAATAATAAGCAAGGATCATGTACACCTTGTTTTAAAAACAATCAAGCAAAAAAAAAACCCCAGCAATAATAAGCAAGGATCATGTACAACTTCCAGCCCTCTTCCATAGGGCTTAGAATAGTCCAAAGATGTTAAAAAGGGTGCCCTAATTTTATGTTAAACTCTTGCTAATTAAGTTTGCTTCAGTAATGATTTCTGTTACTCTGCAATAGAAGCATACATTTTCCTCTCACAAGGAGGTCCAGTAATAATTTAAACTGGGATCTCAGTGGGTTTTACTCACTTGCTCTTTCACTGATACTTTGAATAATGACTTCACTGTCAGCTTCCTAAAGAACATCCAGCATCTCTCCCTGAGCATCTTGTGGTTTTACTAAAGCTTCCTTGCTTTTCAAGGGAAAGGATGGAATATTACTCACACTTTCTTGCAAATGTGAGTATGTAGATGTAATACAGGAAGAGATACAGGTCATTTTTGAAAATTGGCTTGACTTGCTGCCTCTTATGTCTGTATCATAAATACTCTAAGAAAAAGAATTACTCCTGTAAAGTGTCTCATCCTCAGCAGGTTGGATTTAACTTGAAGAACAAGTCACATTTGCTGAAGTTTTTGTTTCTTTCTCAACAGCCAGATTTATTCAGTTCATGGTTTGTTTTCTGGGTAGATGGCAAATCTCTGTGCTCAGCCTTTAACCAACCAGCACATGGGACATCAAAGCTGTTCTGGATTCCTTTGCCTTCAAAAAGGAGGCAGTCTAGATACAAGTTCCTTAGACCCAAAGGCAGAAATCCTGTGGTACTGCACACCCAGGAAGTTCCTGTCTCTTTTTCTAAGTACAGTTCTCCTCCCAGAACAGGAGAGCTGTATGACATTTTATAAATACCTGAAGCTGCTGTGGTTTGTAGTAGGTATTTCCTCTGTTGCCTCCTCTTCACTCCTCCAAGAGATCTTGGCCTGTGGTGAGGGGATCCCTTGCTGTACCTGGAGACTTGTAGAGGTAGCCTGGAAGTTGCCTCTTTGGGCTGCAGTAAATGATTAACAGCTGATTAATTCCTGCAAAGGTGTGGCTAATCTAATCAAATCAAAGGCCTTGAACCCAACTAAAAAGTCCTAATTCAGCTGTTACTCAGACATTTCTTCCTCTTCATGGCTTTATCCACTCCTACAGCTGCTGCAGGGCTTGTAAAGGCCCACTGTGGCCTCTGTCTGGGGCAGGCTGCAGGATGTGGTGGAGAGAAGAGGGCTGTGTTTCCTGCATCCCAGCTGGGTCTGTGTTGCAAGCTCCAGTAGGAGACTGGAATGAGACTGAACAGGACTGCCCTGCAGTCCAAAATTCATTGTGATAGTTTAGGTGAATGAACCCATTCCAGAGCATTGCACTGCTGTGAGCTGCAGTAAAACTATCACTCTCCTGACTGGGGAAGACCAGAGGGATGGTGCTGGAGAGAGAAGGGAGGGGAGAATGAGGAGTGTGGTGTGTGACACTGCCTGTGTGTAAAAGCAAACTTATTTTTCACAAGTCAAGCAAACCACAGGGATAATGTTACAGAACAGAAGCTATTCCATTAAGTCATCAGTAGAACTTCAACCACTTCTGCTGGAAGGGTTGGCCTTGCTGGCTCTTTGAGGTTCCTCAGGGAAAGAAACAATTTCAACACTTTTTATCATAATGACTAAAGTAACAGTATTCCAGTGCAGTTCCTCCTAGGCTTTCACAATATGAATGGCAGTTGCTGTGTTAGCAGCAGCCTTGCCTTATTCTGTGCTTTTCTGAATTTCCCTCTGCAGGTTGAAACAAGAGGATCCATCCTCACTGCTGCTCCCTGTAGGTGCCTGAATTTGAGTACTGAACGAAGCCAAAACACAAAAGCTTGTGTGAGTGCTGAGCAGGGACCCAGGGACCAGCAGGTTTGTAGTCAGCAGAAGCTGGAGAGCTGCAGGAAGCTGGCCACTTGCTGGCATCTTTCAGGCTACCCTAAATGTATGCAAGAAAGCAGCAGATCAGGCAAACAACTGGCATGTCTGAATCCCAGCTGCAGGAATAGTCCAGCTGAGTGCAGTGGTACAAAATAATCCAAAGCAGAACATCAAGCCTGTGAGGTCCAGACAAGTGTGTAGAAATTGACCCCCTCTACATGGTAGCTGGTCCTCTGCTCCAGAAAGCCACCTGAATCCTTTAGAGGATTGCCTGTTTTTCTTTCCTTCCCTTTCTTTGACAGTGCTGTGTTTATTCTAATTCAGGAACTCGCAGTGGTCGAGATAAGACAGGAGCCATTTCTCTTGTTCCTCTGCCTGGTATCTGTCAGTGGTTTAACTTGTACCACCACTGGAAAACATGCATTTGTGGCTTTTCCTGTTGAGATAAGGCCTGGCAGCTTGTTCCCAATGACAGCAACCTGTCAGCCCGTGGTGTGTGTCCAGCCTGCCAAGCTTCCCCCTGCCTTTGCACAGGCTGGCTCCGTGCTGCTGGAGCAGCCCTCAATGGGATGCTGTTAATGTCTGCAGCTGGCACTGTCTAGCACAAGCCTGGAAAGAAAGTGAGCTCTGTTCTTCCCTGGGTCTCGTGACTTAATCTAGATACAAAAACATCTGTTGAGTCTGTCTTTGCAAAAGAGCTTCTGAGGCTCCTGATGTCAGTTTGGCACTCGTTTGTGAGTGAAAAGAGCCAAGACTTACATGACAGGAGGTTGGTGTGATGCACCTCTGAATGTTTAAATTGATGCCGTGCTTGAGATTTCCTCCTAACATGCTGGTTGGCAGTGAAAGCTTTGGGACAGCCTAATAAAACTTTTATTTCTATTTCTCTTTTTCCTTGTTTTTTGGTTTTTTTTTTACACTTTGTTGTCTCAGTGTATCTTTTTCCTTGGTTTTTTTTTTTTTTTTTTACTCTTTGTTGTCTCAGTGTCACTGCATGCAGTAGCTCATGCTAGTGCTGTCTGCTCTTGGCAGTTGTCATGTTGTGTCTCAAATATTTATTTCTAAAGAACATCCTCATTTTCCACTGGAAAGTTTTTCTTTTTATTAATTTAAAAGTAACACTGGTAGTTTCAGGAATTTAATTTTTCTTATAATTCTTAGACTATTTACTATGTCTCTGGCTGCAGATACATTCCAATGTGCAGCAGTACAAAAATACCAAATACCTTGATCCAGTTTGTTGGCAAAAAATAAAGTGCATTAAATACATAAGAAGCTGATGTAATGTGCCTTTTAGTAATATAGGTGCAGGCAACAGAGAAAATACATTTCTTTACAGAGTTTTCTTTATCTTCTGTACTTCCTGAAGTGTAAAGAGTATTTTAAAGCCCACTGTTAAAACCTTGATGGTTCTGTTCTCCCTAGCTCGATGTTGACTTTGGTACACACACTTAGTTGGGATACAGAGGCAAAAGATGACTTCTCTGTATTCATGTAATTGTTTATACCTTCTCACAAAGATGGTTGGTCTCCCATTTGGGGCTGAAACACCAGTGGTTCAGAGTTTAGTGCAGACTTGTGGCCTTCTTGTGCTGTGGAAGTCGTGGCCTGCGCCACAGCCTTGTACATCGGTAAATCCCTTTCGGAAGTTCACCGGAGTGTAAACCAAACATACACAGTGGCTGCAGCATGGAAAAGGGATTTATTTGCACTTGGTAACTCCAGCCCAACAGCCCATTCTTGGCTCTGCTCTGTCACAGTGCCCGCTGTCAGCTGCTGCACACATACCCTGAAGTGATGGCTCCCATCATGTGTCACTCCTCTGAAATGCCTCTGTGCTTGCTCATAAACACACCCTTGGCATCATGTTCATGTCTACTGAAATAAACTGCACACAGTGCAGGGAGTCAAGCACACAGATCCCTCAAGTAAGGATTGGGATTTGTTCATCTCCTGGAGCTCCCATGCTCTGCAAGAACCTTTCATCTGCAATAAGCAGAAGAATAGGAACCACAAGGGGTGGAGAGGGAGCATATTGAGCAGAGAATGATCAAAATAAGCCATAGGATTGATGAGTTTTTCCCTTTTGCCTTCATTTTTCTATTTACAAAGAATATTTCACGTGACCTGTTTTTTTCTTTGGCAATTTCCCATCATCATATCACCAATGAAATGACACTGGGGGCAGCTGTTACCAGCTGTACTCAGAGCCTCAGCTGGCACATCTGGATGAGAGGGTCCACCATTTGTTCTTTCCAGCAGGTATCTCAGCTAAACGTGTCTCCTGCAGCAGATTTGGCCTTGATCCATGATGACCTGAGCAATTGGACCTCACAGTGGTGTCAGTGGGTTTTGCTAATGCCCAGTAGCATTCTTCTGGTGAGGAGAGCAGGCAGTGCCTCATGTGTGGCTGTGTGCGTGGCCTCTGCTTTGCTCCGTGGTTCTGTGTCCCAGGGGGGATCCTCAGCTGGCCCAGCTGCAGGGCTGTCTTTGGGAAAGCTCTCTCTTTTCTCAGCAATCTGTGTCCATGCCCTCCCACCCCATCCTGGCCCAGAAGAAGGACACAGTGATGGTAAAGGAGCTTTACCTTTCTGGTCACAGTAGTAGCTGTCACAGAGAGACGGAATTCCACGCTGTGATTTCTGGTCCTTTGAGTCATGTTAGTTAATATTCTTATTGCCATTTTCAGTGGGCTAGTGTGGAAAGTCATTCCCATAGCACTGAATCATGATGTCCATGCATGTCCTCGATAGCATGTCCTTGTGTCACTTCATATATGGGCAGCTGGGCTGACTTGGCTCTTGCGTCTGGGATCAGGGCGTCCATCACAGCCACAGCAGCTGTAGCAGCAGCAACTGCAGGCAATGATCGTGAGCACCAGCACAGTAACTGCAAAGAGAAACAAAGGATATTGCTTCATAGCATAGGTACAGTCCCTGCAGAGTAACCCTATGTCTCCTCTAAGTTATTTGGTGAGCAGCAAAATTAGCAAACCCTGGTTTCTTGAGAATTTTTTTCCCCTATATCCCCATCTTCCTCCTCCTAAGTTCCTGCTCCTTTGTATTGGTTTTCTGTTTAATCTGTACAGTCATTACCGGGCATTTCAAGACCTTAAGAGCTACATTCCAAACCATGTGAGGGTTTTTTTACCCACTTAATGAGCTGTTGTTTGAAAGCTGACATGCAGTACCTAAAGCACAGCTATGTGTCTGGAAAGGAAGAAAATCCAGCTTTGCATTTTTGAGTAACCAAGCTCGAGGGAGTTTGGTTACTCCAAGTGGCAGTTGTATTTCTGAAGAGTGAGTTCAGCGTACTCTTTAAGCATAGAAACTCATGACTGGGTTGGCTTTACTCTTCTGCATTTAGCTTGAAAAAATAAGATACTCCAAATGCAGAGGTTAATTTCACAGAACAGTGGGCTAGCTGACTGTCCTCTACTCTAGTCAGGATGGCTGGTGTTGGCAGGGATGTGTTAGTTTATCTATCTGGAGAAGAAAAGGATGGCATGTTCCATCCTGCAGAGCATGTAAGAGTGTGAGCATGCCTCTGTGTGGATGTGTTCCTTTAAAGCCTGGACCTGGGCTGCCAGGTAACCTGACCTGTGGGGAACCAACTGTAGGGATGAACCAAATAAAGCAGCAGGTGTGACAGTGTGAATTCCAGCCCAGGGAGGAGTGTCCAATTGAATACACACCCTTCCTTTTGGCCAGGAGCAAGCCCTGTCTTTGAGGAGCAGGGCCTGTCTTCCTTCCTGCTTATTTCCCCATTGTATAAACAAACTTCATCCTCCTTGACCCAACAGTTCTTGATCCAGCTGTTATTCTTTCTATGCCATCCCCACATAGAGCAGGAGGGATCTTGCCATTACCAGAGGAGAATAAACAGACTATCTGAAGCATACTGACTTCCACTGAGCCAATACAGGAATGACACTCAGAGCCCCTCTTAAGTGTCTTCTGTGGCAGGGAGATGCTCTAATACTATTTGTCATAAACTATCTCCTGTGCATCCAAACCTTACAGCAGCTCTTGTTAAAATTATTGCTGATTTAACTGATGTTTAAAATGGGAGCTTTAGGAGGTTTAGGGAAAGCTGTACTGTTTCCTGTCATGCCCTGCAACCATGTAGAGGTATGTGTTGAGCGTTAAAAAATTACCTAGGAATTAACCAGGGCCTTAGAGCACAGCCTAGAAAACAACAGCCAACACCACCAACCCACCTACACAGCCTGTGGAGCAAGTTGCCCCCATCGTGGAGGAGAGAAATTCTGACACCCCTTTGCCTCCACCCACAAACTCACCAATAAACAGAAGAACCACAGAAAAGCTGACAATCTCCACTGGCTCAGCCTTGGGCAGTTTCTGGAGCTTAAGGAGAAACTTCTCAGCAATGGCTTGAACTTCCTTCAGAAAGCCTTCAGAAGACATTCTGTCACAACCTCTCCAGGCTTTATGCTGCAGGAGAACCAAACAGAGAATAAACCTTTTCACTGACTAATGCTAGGGAGCTGCCAGCCTTCTTATACAGCCGGTGATCACAAGGAAAACAAGTTTATCTGGTCTCAGTCCTTGTTCCCAGTAGCTAAGGTGGAGGACTATTAATTGTCTACGTGTTCTGGCACTGTTTTAATTTCAAAATCCAGCTTTGAGGATGTTTTTGTCAACTACACTGTTAAGCAAAGTCCAAACGGTGTTTCTTCTGCAAGGACACTTCTTCCAGCAGGCACTGAGTTGGGCTGGACAGTGCCTGCCCTTGGCTCTCACCCAATCAAAGCACTTTTTTCCAGTTGTGCTAACTTGTTCTTCCAGAAACAAAAGCAATTCTAACCCAACTTGAACGCTGAACTCCACTGAACATAGTCTTCAGTTGTCTGTTACTGAGTAACACCAAGTAGACTCCCTTGAAGGCTTCTTGCACTTTGAGCTACAGAACCCCCTTCAAAAACAAAGGCATTTACCTCAACACCTCAATACAATAGCATTAATAATGTTTTATTAACCAATTTTATTGTATGTGATATTAAAAGTTAAAGTCTGCATTCACTAGGGACAGCTGGAAGCTTTTCAAGTTCTTACAGATGAATGCAATTTTATAAAGAAAGCTAAATTTAGGGTTTTGGTTTTTTTTTGTTTTAAGCCACAGAGCAATATATGAATTGAACAGTGGATTCCACCTGTGACTGCTGATGATGACCAAAGCAAAAGCCCCTGGATCTGTCATGGAGATATCTCCCATGTGGAGCTAATCCCTCCTGCCCTGCTCAGTAATCTTAGGCTTTCTTTATTCCCAGGATCATCAGGAGGTATCACTGAAAATATTATTAGTCTAGTTAAAGTTAAATGCCTCAGTTTTGTCACCAATATTTGCTGTTCTTTTACCCCATGAGCAAGATTTTAGGAGGCATTGCAACAAACTAGCTGGCGTGAGACTTATGGATCTTCAAATTTTGCTCCAGTCAGGAGCTGGGATTGGATATTTTTGAGAAAGAGCCATAGTTCCACCTAAAACAAGTGTTTGGACAGGTCAACACTTGAATGGGTTATAACTCTTATTTCATTATTCTATCAAAATCTACTGGTTTGTGTGTGTTGTAACAGGCAACACTGTGTTTTGGGACTTGAACATTGCAATTTAATATCCTGATCTTGGTGATAACACAAAGCCAAGTGACCAAGACAGCACTTCCAGAACAAACCAGCTAGTTCTTTATTGCACATCTGGCTTGGTTACTCAAACAAATGGATGCTTGGAGTTCAGTTTTTCTAAACACACTGAGGACAGAGAGACCTTGGCTGTTTCTTTGCATGCTGGGCTTAAGTACTACAGTGCCAAGTTAAATTAGTTTTGTATGTTTATGCAATTCAAAAAGGGTTTTCTTTGTTCTTTTAAATCCAAGCTAAGGAATAAAAATCTGAACCAGCTGGTTTCTTAGAATTGGGGGTGGATGGAAAATCTGCATTCACAGAAAGATTGCTGTGCAATTCAGGAAAGAGGCAGAGCTGTTGTCTTTTGACCTGAAAAGGTCACTTTTTTAGACTAGGGTTAAATACTTCTTTCCAGATGATTGCATACCCCAAGTGAGCTTCTCCAGAACGGCTGCTTTATCCTTAGTGCTGCAGGATTCTGTGTCAACAGGTTTTCAATTTTGTTTCCATTCTAAGAGATGGTGGAAGAGGCAGAGGTGAAATGATTTGTGTTTTCTGTTCTTGACTCTAGAAGAAAAAAATTCAGAAAATAAAATTTCTGGAATTAACATTGTGAAAATGTTTGTTCCCTTTGGAGGTGTTTCTGCCTGTCCAGAAGCTCTCCTCATAACGAATTTGCTGTAAACTTGCATGCCATACTTTGGGTTGCACCACAAGCAACAGGTTTAAAAGCCTGGCTTGCGAAATTTGGTTATACAGGGTAAAATTACTGATCAGGATTGTAGAACTACGTGTGGATTAGCAAAGTGCTTGGTCAAAAATGATAAAGTCTGTCTCTGTAATGGACATTCCACTCTGCCCATGGTACCTGATCTGGAGCTAAGTGAAGGAGTTTTTATTCTAAAACTTGCAAGGAATGCTGCTTGTTTACCTTGGTCTGAATTACATCAGGGACAAAGTTTGATGGTGGTGGTGCAGTCTCCAACCTACCCGTGAGGAAGCAAGTGTTTTTCTGATTGACTGCACTTTCTGCTTTGGGATTTCTGCTTCTGCAGCAAGGTGAAAGGGTGAAGAATAAAATAATTCCTAAAGGAAAAAAGTAAAACTCCTCCAAGAAAGCCAGTTACATTAATGGACTTCTGTATGTTCCATTCTACTTGTGTTGTAAAGTTTTTGTTCAGGACTAGTTTTGATGTGACCTTTTCCCAATTGATTTCAGTGGAACCAAGATTTTACCCTTGAGATTTACACAAGGGTAAGGATAGTGTGATTTAAACGAGTTGTCTTATGCATCTGCCTCATTTACAACACAAAGGTGATGACATTAATTACAATAACAGAGTGGAGCTGTGAGAATTAATTCCTTTTGTTTTATTATATTGTGTGGAAATAATCTTCCAGTCACCAACAGTGGCAAAGGCCAGGTGGTGCAGGATATTAAGTTGAAGCAGTAAGTATGATGATTATTATTCAACAGGGAGGTCTTAAGAGGTTTGAAAGTTAAGGTTGTGGGCCTTAACTGACAGTTTACTTTCTAGGCCTGGAGTGCTGTTTTAGAGCCTGGAAGAGCCACTCAAGTTAGTACCTCAGAGATTCTCAGGGGTTTGCAGCAAACATAATTGTCTGCCAGTGTTTTCCTCAATTGGGAATTTCTTCCTGCTCTCACTGTCCTTCCTCAAAACTTCACCCACTGAGGATGGGAGCCTTGCAGAGCAGAGGAGTCTTGGCTGTAGGGCAGCAGAGCTGATCTAACTCATCCATGTTATAGAAAAAACCCTGAATGACCACAGTGCAATGTGGTCTTCATAACACACTGTCAGAGTGATGTCAGGAAATTCTGCTACAGCTGCAGTCAGAGCTCAAATGAAGTGAAAATCAGATGAGGAGAGGCAAGACAAGAATCTCACACAGAAAAGAAAGTCACAGAATGTCTTGTTACAGGCAGTTTGTGACATCCTGCTGGGATGGGGTGGTAGCCTGAAATTCATGGTTTTGACTTAAGAAAGAACTCATCCAATCAGTGATGCCAGTGGAACTAGATCATCAAACCTTTCTGCCCTCCTCTAATAGTGCAAGGCCCAGCAGGGGGAGAGAATAAAACAAATCATTTAATTTGGGTTTATTTGGTTTTGATGAAAAAAAAAGGCCCCTTCTGCCATGTGCCATGAGTTATTAGCCTTGGTTGAAAGGACCGAGCACAGAAATGATGCATGGGAATGGCAAACAGCTGCAGGTGTGCTGCTCAGCTGCAAGGATTACATGACCCTGGAAAACCCAAGTGCATGTCCTGTGTTTAGGACTTACATAGACTTAGATTCCCAGAAAGCACTAATGCAGATTCATCTTGCTGTGCCCACTGAAGAAAGCTGTGAAAATTGCCATAATAGCACTGAAATTATCTTTCTGAGTTGTTTTAATGGACTCATGCCATGCTGAAGCACTCAAAGAAGTTGGCTGCTCAGCCCCTTGGAGAATAAAGCCATTAAAAAGCCTCAATCTAGACATTCAAGAGAAAAGCCTCCATCAAGGTTCCTTTTTGCTGTGAGCTGGCTGCACATGGAGGCTTCTTTTTCCAAGAAAAAGAGCTTTGAGATGACCATGTACACTAGGGTCTCACATCCCTGTGTCTGCCTGAAGCTGGTGAGGCTGCTGTGAGACTCTTGGAATTGCTGTACATTTTGGTTTTGCATTTTTGTTCTACATTTGGGTTTTTTGGTCTGTCCTGATCTCTGTGTGGACACAGCTGCATCCAAAGGTGAATTGTAGGGAGTGGGTGAGCTGAAATTTACTGCTGAGAATGAGACACTTGTTTACACATAGCCCTGGGGGTATTTGAGCAGCCTTTTTTAGTGCAAAAAGCACAAATTTAAGTTTGTGGTTTAGCCCCAGGACTGGAAGTTTGTAAATACAGGCAGTCTCCCTGGCCTGACAGTGATGCTCCCTGGTTGTGTGACTTTGGGTAAGTCATCACATCCCACTGTTGGGTGACTTCATCTCTGCAAGACAGCAGAACATGGAACCACATCAGAGCTTTGTTTGTAATTGTTGTGTGTCCAAGTTTCCAGCATGCTTGGGAATCTTTAGATAGAAAGGCAGCAAGTCCCTTGTTTTGCTGCAGTTACAAACTGAACTGGCCATTGTTTTGCTCAGTACTTTGTACACTTTGTTCACTGAGGATGATGATGTAGATGATGATGTTTAGGAAACTGGCCATTGTTTTGCTCAGTACTTTGTACACTTTGTTCACTGAGCCTGTTTAGGATGGATGTAGATGAAAGTGTGGTTTCCACTCTTGTTTGCTCCTAACCCAACCATATTCCTCATATTGTTCTTGCCATAATCCTTATCCATTGGTTTTATTGTGCTTGCATGTGTTTGTTGCTCTAGTAACCTACAAGTGGAGATAAATCTTTGAAAGGGGGAATTTTGGGGGGAACAAGAAGCTGCCAATGCCTCTAGTCCTAATGCAGCAAGTCCCAGTGATGGTGAGTTGGCTCTCCTTCACTGCCCACAGCAGCATGGCTCAGGAGACCTTACCAAGCAGAACCTTCCTGATGTTCCCATCAAATGCAATGCCAGGGCAACATTTTCATTGCAACCTTGGCTTTTCCTTTAGACTGGGGCTCTGAAGAAGCAAATGTTGTGTTGTTCTTACTCAGACTAGTCCAATAAATTGGTTGAAATTGGATCTGTACAGGGATGGGAAGCCTGTATGGATTGTGGGACTTATCTGGTAGGAGACCTTACAAGGCAAGCCCAACCTCATGGAAGGAGGGTGCTGAGCAGCCAAAGGGGAGGGGATGCTTTTTATTCTGGTCTAAAACTCTAAAATAAGCTCTGACTGTACTTGGCCACTTTTTAAAGAACATGAAGGCTTGGCCAGTTTCAAAACGTACCAGCTTTGTTCTTGGTCCCTGAAATGTCCTTCTGATTTTATATGGATAAGGCCTGCAGTGCTTCCTGTTCTCAAACAATGCTGGGTTGCTAGGTGTGCCTACAGCGTGGATGCATTTTGGCTTAACGTGTCATAATTCCTGCATGATTGTTTATTGTTCTAAGCTTTTAGTGTACTGCTGAGATGAAAAGGGCCATAGAAATGCAGTTGTATTATCAGTGCATGGTTTTCCCTCATCATTGTTCATGCAGTGTTTGCTGCCATGACTGTAGTTGACCAGCCATGTGAATCTTAGCTATAGTTCAGACAAGCCTATTTTTCTTAAAACAGGAGTGCACAGAGCCAGACAGACCTATAATTCATTCCCAAGCAGATGAAAATAGTTTCCAGTATCAAGAGAATTCAGCCCTTGAACAGCACACACCCAAACTGGTAAATTGTAGCTCAATGCCATGGGAGAAAAGCTGGGACTTTGTCAGTTGGCTTGGAACAGAAGGCCACAAATTCCTGAGATTTTAAAGCTGCCCTGCCTGGGTCACCCTTTGGCTGGAATACCCTGTCATCTCCACCATCCACTATTTGGAGATGGGTTTTGAGGCAGCCCTGTAAATGTGCCTTCTCTTCCCTACAACCTAATATTAGATTAATGTAAAAAGGCACTGAATTCTCAGTTTCAGTAGCAGAGGTACCCACTGGGGCACTGAGCTGGAAGTCTTTACACCTCTGCAGATCACCCTGGTTTTCTCCAGTCCATCCCACAAACACGTCCACAAAACCCCAAGAGATAATTCCTCACTACTAGAAAATTTTTAAGTGGGGAAACCAAAACACTGAGCCATCCAATGAAAGGAAAAGGTCAATTTTAAAAATAAACCTGTAGCTCTTGTACAAGAGAACTTTTTTTAGGGTTGGTGATGCTTGAATCTAGTCTGAAAGTCTATTCTAATATTAGCAAAATATCCATTTCCCATGAAGCTGACTGAGAGGGAGCTGTGTGCCTGTGAAAGCCTTTTAGTGACTGCACAAACACAGTGGGATCTATCAGTAGTTGGTGCTTGAGGTCTGGCATCTGGAGGCCCTGAGAGTGCTGGAAACTCCTCCACCTTTTAACAGCCACCTCTGTGCCCTGTCCTTGATCTCACATCTACAAGCCTCCTAAATTACACGCATTTTTGAGCTTTTTGAAATATTCTGGACTAATCCTAGTCAAGGTGCCACTGGGATGTAGGAGCTGAAAAATCAAAATCTGCAGCAGCTGCTGCCTCAGGAGGAATTTTTTGGAAGCCCATCAGCTGTGGCTGCATGGGGCAGTGGGGTGGGTGCTGCTCCCAGTCCCTGCTGACCCCTGGGTGCCTCTGGCCCACTGCAGGCTCTGTGCTCAGGGGCTTGTCTAACACAGAGGAGCCGCTCTGTCAAACCTGGATTATTTTGTACCTTCAATTCCCACACCCACTGTTGGTTGCAGTCATGCTGAGGCCCGTGCAGTGTGACAGCTGTAACACTAGCCATGTCCTGCTGCTTTTATCCAGACATGTGTTTCACATTGCTGTGCCTCTCCCCCCACACATGAACAGCATGGCTGCAGCTGGACAAGCCCCCAGCCAAACCCATTAAGATTTTCTTTTGGCCAGGAAAACTTGGCATGTTTCTCCACCTCCTTCCCTCCCCTACCCTTCTCCCTCCTCCCTCCTTATTTTTTTCTTTGTTGCTTTGCTAAACTTTGGTTTTTTTCACATGCTTTATTTAAGAAACTCTCTTAACTGCAACAACCAACCTACAGAGACTCTCCATTAGCAGGGTGGAAACTTCCCTCCATCCCCTTGAGCCTTAGGGCCAGGCTGGAGGCGTGTGGGTCTGAACTACTGCCTCTCCTCACTCAGGCAGTTCCAATTCCATGTTTGTACAACACTGGGTCAGAAAGACCTGCCCTCCATTCCTTGTTAATGGAAATGGAGAGAAGTGGAAATACCTGATCCTTAACATTCCTCCCTACAGGCATGTGTAGGATTGGGAAGACCTTTTTCTGTGAGAATTGGCTTTCTGCTGCGGTTTGTAAACAGCTGACTGCCCATGCGCCTCCTGGCAGAGGCTGAGGGGTCCCAGCTCAGTGCTGGGAGCTGCAGCAGCTTCCAAACAGAAAAGTCAGCTTCAGATAGCAGAAAATGGGGATTTATAAGGCCAGTCTCCATTACCAGCCCCTCTTCCCGTAGCCAATAGTGGAGATGGGAGCACAGGTGGGACACCTCTGTAAAACCAAAGCTTGGACACAATGGCCTAAAATGTCTTTTTCAACTTAAATGATTCTGTGTTGTATAATTTAATGTATTTAGGTGATCCTTTTACTCTTCCTTCCCTTCTCACTGCATTCAAACTTGACGGTCTGGTTACCGTAAGCCATGAGCTGTGTATGTGTGTGAACGTGCCCCTCAGAGCAGTGCGTTCTCGTGCTGCTTTGAACGCTAAACCAGCATCTGTGCCTGATACGCTGGCTGAATTCTTCTTCTTTTTTCAAATGTTCTCATTAGCAACCCTGTAAAATCTTTCCGTTCATTTCTATTGGACACAGATGCTTAACTTGCACAGCGTGTTAGTTCCCCGACCACAGCTTGTTTTCTAAGCTCCCTGCTTCAGGATTTGGGGGATAAAACTTAGCTGCAGCTGGGAGGAGCTCCGGGAAAAGCTGTGGCTGGCACCCGTCGGGTTTCATACCCCTGTGCTCCCCGCTAAGGGCACGCACAGCCTCGGACCCAGCTGCCTTGTCCACGCCGCCTATTTCTGTATCAGGTCCCCAGCTTATCAGGACATTCATTGTGTACGAGCACAGAAACCCGAGCAGCCTGCCTTTGTCACCGGCAGAGGAGTTGCAGAGTCCCTCTCGGGCTCGGAGCTCCTTGTGTTGCAGAGCGGCTGCGGCGCAGCTCTCCGCAATCCCATTAAAAGCTTTTCTCCTGCCACCTTCGCTCCTCGGTGTCCCTGGCAAGCAAATTCCGCCTCCCAAGCTCTGCTCCATGGCTGACCGAACATGGGGAGCTCCCCAGGCGGTGCCCGCTCGACCGAACAGCAGCGATAGCTCAGCCTTACCCCGACCGCGGGCTCTGCTTCTCCTCTTGTTTTTCTTTCGTCTTCTTAAACTTTCACGTCATCTCTCCCCTCATCCTGGCTTGCGGCTCGCTGCTCGCTCTGCTCCTCTCTGCTCCGCTGCTGACAGCCAGCTGTTGTCTCTGCCTTTCTTTTTTTTTTTTTTTTTGTTGGTGGTTGTCGTGGAGATGCGAAGTTTCGTGTTACATGTGTGCCAAAGAGGGAGGGAGAGGAGCCACCGCAGGCTGAGCCAGAGCCGGTGCCAGCTCCCCGGGGCGCCCGAGGGCCGGCACTTGTTGCTGGCTTCCTCTGTGCATCTCCTCCGAGAGAGGAGTTCCTTCTTCACCTTTTAATGACGCCTTTTTCTGGCGTGAGACTCGAATCGATTCCCTGCCTGCGACAGTTTGGGGCGATGTTAAAGCCAATAACTTTTCTTTCTGCTGCCGGTTTCCTTCCGGCTCCCGGAGAAGGAGCTTTTCTCCTGTGCTCATTGAAAGGGCAGAGCAAGTGCTCGCAAGGACAGTGCAGCGCTGTGAGCGAGCAGCGGGGACAATGCTGGGGCAGTGAATTTGATGCTGGGATGGTGAATTTGCTCCGTGCCCTTGGCCAAGAGCTCATCTCTTGATGCTGAGCTTTTCGCTTCTTGGATTCTGGGACAGCTGACTGTCACTGTCTTGTCTCAGAGGGTGAAGCTCGGGTGATGGTGAAAGGACACAGTCCGTCAGACAGGTGTAAAATTAGAAGTTCTCATCAACCTCATGACTCGCTCTTCTATTTGATAAAGCTCATTAAGTGGCTTTCGCCTGACAAATGCATAACTAATTTGCCCTTATGTGATTTTTATTTTTTTAACCCTTTCACTTCACATTATTCCAAGACTTCCTGGGTTCTTTATTTCAGGGGGCGTTTCTGATGAGGCTCTGTACCCTTTAGCTTATACAGGAGAATGCTTTATTCTGGTGGTTTTTGGGGGAGGCAGAGCTTCTTCTGGGATATGTGACTTTGCTTCTCTGGCTGTCCATCTGCTTCTCCTAATTGCAGGAATAGGGCTCCTGTTTTATGTGGTGTATAAAAACCTGTGTGCCAAAACGACACAGGTGCAGGCAGCTTTGTGGTCATTTAGCACTTGCCTGAAATGCATTGCCACAGACAAAAATGTGTTGATAAACCTCTTTGTTATTTGCTCTTCATCCCATTCCATAATGTTAATGAGTGGGGGAGGGGATGTCTGAAATGACATAATGATTTTGTTTAGACATTTCAGAGACCAATGGTCAGCTCATACATACTCTTTTTGAAGAGCAAAGGGAGACAAATAATACAGTTGCTTATTTAAAAGATGCAATAATTTTAGGACATGTATAATAATACAAACTACCATTAATTTATGTAAATCATCTCCATCTCGTGGGCTTTAGTCAGGTGTTGGTGTGACAGGGGAAGCTTTCCCCTCGCATGTTAATGCATAACCAAATGTCTTTCAGGAACTCTTGTGTTAAGTATTAATCCAGTGATTAACCCCAGCATCCCTGTTAGTAACTTTGTTTTTTGCCTTTTGACCTTAATTATTTGGATTGCAATTTTAGTTTTGCAACTGAATTTCCGCTATGGCCCAACTCCTGAACACCGTTGGCTAAAGTGGGGCTGTGGCCCCAGTCTGGGTAATTCTTCAGGAAGAAAAAGGCAATTACAGTAGGCTGGGTGGGAAGGGCTTGGCTTTACAAGCCTGATGGGTTAGAAAGTGGAACTCTAAATTCCAGTGAGCTCACAGCTGATCTCTGCTTCCACCAAAGCCCTCCCGTGGGGCATCTGAAGGACAGAGGTGTGTGTGGCTGTCCCTCCTCAGCATAAGCCTGGTGAGCTGTGGCAGAGGGCTTGTCCCTCACTGAATGCCTCAGTTAACTCTAACACAGATCAGTGCACACGAGGGGAAGAGACACGGACTAATGAGAATGCCTGCCTGTTTTCTTTGGGGGAAACAAAAAGCTGACTGCAGCTCGCTGACATTTCTCTAGTCACGTTGCATTGGCAAGCCAGGCAGCACCAGTGGTTCTTTTGGAAAGGCAGGACAAGGGTATCGAATGTGTTGCCCCCATCTCGGTCCCCCCACCCTTGCCCTCCATGTGAAAGGAGCTCTTTGAGTGCAGGAGCAGAGTGAGTCAGTGTGGCTCTGCAGGGGGATATAATGGCAGCTTTGTCGGAGCCTCTGCAGCCTTCGGTGCCCTGCACGGTGCAGACACCCTGCTGCAGCCCCTTACCTGAGCACTGCCAGCTCCCTGCCACTTCAGCACACTCAGGTCACTGCTGGGGACAGGAACCTGTGCCCTGCTGCTGTGCTGCCTCCCAGGCCGTGGGAAGGAGTGAGCTAGCAGCCCCTCTGGGGTTTGTTTCTGATGCTTTGGTAACGTGCAGTTGTGTTCTCTCCAGACACACACAGACACAAGTGAAGAAGAAAACTGTGTTTCTTAGATCTCTGGCAAGTTCTGACATGCCTTAAAGGGTTTAGAATAAGAGTAAATGAGGTGCTCGCTCTCTTCCTTTCCCCCTCTGTGACCCACTTTTTGCAGATGAAGTTGGGAAGCCTACTAGGGCACACCTTGGTCGAGAAGAAAAATTTCCACTTTGTTCTCCCTTGTAGTAAAATAATTTTCTTCTAAAATAACTTTTGTTCCCACTTGGCTATAGGATTTGATCTCTAAATGCCCAGTGAAGTGAATGTTTTCATATATTTATTATCAGCATTTTGACTAACAGACAACCAGCCACCTCTGCTGAGAAACTTTAGTTTTAAAAAGCTCCTCTAAATTCTGCTTTCTTAAAAAAAAGGGGCAGAAAGTAACTGCCTGATCATTCTTTGGCAAAATCAGTGTGTTCCCTGGTTTAAGTTAGGGGGTGTTTTAGAAGAGAAATTACTTCCTGCCTGTATTACTCGTGAGCATATTGTCACCAAATTCTTTTTTATGTACCCCAAAACACTGATGCCTGCCAAAAATATTTTGAAAATTTCTGGAAGAATCTAATAATCTTCTCACGACTGGTTTGCTAATCTTGGTAAACTGGTTGTGCAATCCTGTGTGAGCAAAGGAACTGGTTTTCATGCATGTAGGACTCTACCCAAACTTTGGGTGCTGATCTGGAGCATGTGTGAGCCCATCAAGGTCCTGGCTGTGTTATCTGAATGGTACTCTCTTGTGACCTCACTCTGGACTCTGTTCCTGAGACTTTCCTTACATTCCTGTGTCTTCAAATATATTTCTTCACCTTCAAATCACAAATAATAAACCTAGAAGCTCTTCAGTGTGAGATATATTCTGAAGTGTGGTGATCAATGGGTCCTCTTTACCTACAGCCATCCTGATAGGACATGGAATATATTTAGTCAGTGATACAGAATTAATAACTGTGTATTTCATCCTTTTGAAGATCTCAAAGATCTGAAAGGGTTTAGCAGAAGAGATTAACATTGATATTTTTTTTTACATATGGGGAAGTGAGGCAGAGAGACTTTAAGCAAGGTGCCAGGAACTGAGCCCGAATTCTGCTCCAGGGATTAAACCCTGTGATTCCTGCTGGAATAGACATTCTCTGTGAAAAAATAAGACTCAAATATTTATTTTTATTTCTTTTTTTTTTTTCTTAAAGACACCCTGCATTTGGAGGGTGGAGTTTTTGTGGATAAAAGTGATGACCAGATGCTTTTGCCTTGTGTTTCCAAGCTGTCGCCACGCTGCCATCGCAAAGTACTTCGGCGATGTCACCCCACCTTGCAACAAGTGCTGTGACTTCTGCAAGAACCCAGGGGCAGTGAAAAGGCAACTGGAGGCACTGGAGTGCTGCAGCAACAGCTGGAGCAAAACCTGCATCGGGCCCACAGGATCCTCCTGGGATAGCTCTGACCCAGAGCTCTACGAGGGCGGGAGGAGAGGCCTCAAAGGCTTCAGCAGGTCTGTACCAGAGAGGTTACACTCATCTCACAGGAGCTAACAGAGAAAAGAGCATCCACCAGCTGCAGGCCCAGACACTCCTATTTTCAGCACATGTTTCTGTGTGGATGGTATTCTCCTGTAACTTTTTGGCAGCAGCAGCTGGAATTTCATTTTCCACACACTTTGGCAGCCTCGTTCACATTCGTGTTCCAGAGAACCAAAAGCTGTTTTGACAGAGCTAAGAATTGCCCTGCACAATGTAATTGGCTCAAGAAACTAGCCTGAAATTTTTGAAAGCAGCAAGTGGGCTCAGCCTCTTCATAGTCACAAGGATCAGAAATGTTTAAAAGTGAGACCAAGATGACATAGTCCAGAGTTCATTCCTGATTTAACACAACTGTCTGTGAGCCAGCAGGCCAGGGGCCACTGACAGGACTTAGTCACCACAGAGGATGTTATGAAGTGCCAGTGTCAGATTCTTCTGCAGATTGCTGCATCTTCCTATGAGGCTGACAGCAAAAGGAAGATGTCCAGTGGGAAACATGATGAATTTGTAAAATGCTTGGCAGTGTGGAGGTGACAATTTCTCTTTCCCCCTGTTCTCTGGCAGAGTTGCAGTGATTGTCCAGCTGTGTCAGGATGAAGTTTCTCTGCTGGCACTGCCCATGAAGCTGTGCCAGGATACACAGTGCTGTAGGCAGGCCAGGCCCTCTTCTTTACCTTAAAAAGCTTGGGATTGGTGCCTTTGTTCTTTGGCCAAGTCCAGCTGAGTCAGAGGAAACCAGGACTTGTGACCTGAGCCTGTGTTTGGTCTCAGGACCTGAGAAGCCACAGCTAATGCTGTTGTACAGAACAGTGTTTGCTACTTGGCTTATTGAACCTTTCCATGATCTGATTGTAGTTTTGCCTTGGAGGTTGTAATAGTCAGCAGCTCTAAAGCTCAGATTTGTGATACCTGTAAGTTTGGCAGCTGTGGGAGGCAGTGAACTCCTGGGCTACATCTGGTGAGGATCAGCTGCTGCATTTCAGTGTAGTAGAGATGGAGATTTCATTTATTGCAGCAGCCTGTGAACAAGTGAGGCTGAGGAATGGATGTTGTGCCCTTTCTGCCATCTCTGCTCCCAGGGCAGGAGGGACTGACAGATGGGGTACATGACATGAGGCAGTGACTCCTGAACCCCCTGGGAGCATCTGGCAGAGCTGCTGAAATGGAGCCCTCCATTCTCAGGGCACTAGTTACAAGCTCTTAGTTCATGCCACTACCTCCTACTTTATGGGATTAAGAAGTGCTGTGCATTTTTGGAGGACGCTCACTGCTGTCCTGGTTGGGCAATGGCGGAGAAACTCAAAGTGAAGACATGTTCAGAAAGATGTGGGATCATCGCTGGGCTGGCTTCCCACACTTGTCCTCCAGTTCATGCTGCAGCTACAGAGATGCTTGTTCCTCTTGCTTTCCTGCCTTATCCAGGTATGATGAAGAGGGCAGTGGGAATTGGGATGAAGACAA